TTTTTCCATTCAATTGAATAATACGATACTTAGTTCCTAACTAAGTTTTCACCCCTGACGAGGGCGTTAGGGATTGGCGGTGGTAGCATGTCACGTACCGACTCATTGGGGGTGCGAGTTCTACACCAAACACTTTGCAAGCGCATTAGTTTGTGAGCGACAAGACAGGCAGGGTAGATCCATATCGCATCTCCTGGGTTGGTCTTTGAGCTTAATACACAGAGGTATGTAGTACAACTCGTGGAGCCGGCTTCTCGGGAGGATGACAAACGCTCGGTCCGTGACATTAAGCCTGATTCAGTCACCTCTTTTGCCCAGCTGAGCAAACACTTTTTAGGCCACTTCATCGGTGCTCAATGCCAACGGTGCCCAATAACTAAGTTGCTAAACATCAGACAAACTGAGGGTGAGTCCTTGCATAGCTATATGACGTGCTTCAATACGGAGGCCCTGCAAGTTGAAGAGAATGATGACAAGGTCATCTTCACAGCATTTATGGCTGGTCTACGCTCCTTAGACTTTCTATTCTTTCTCTCTAAAAATCCTTCGAGCTCCATGATAGCCCTCTTAGCCAAAGCTCAGAAATACATGAATGATGAAGACTTTATGCCAGTTCGTCAAGACTCTATGCCCAAACCCTCACTAGCCAAAGATAAAAGAAAAGTGCCTGAATTAGAACATAACCAATATCTTGATCGATCCACTCGATACTCCGACCGACCCCCACGCTCTGACCGATCGGCTCCAGCTCGCTCGACTAGTCGGTTCGAGCAATACACACCCTTAAATTCCTCCATGGAGCAAGTCATACACCAGATCCAGCATGATTATAACTTGAAATGGCCTAGACCGTTAAGAGGCCTTTCTGATAAGCGAGATCAATCCAAATATTGTCGCTTTCACTGCAACCACAACCATAACACAGAGGACTGCATCAACCTCAAGAATCAGGTGAAGTTGATCCGCCAAGGCCGATTGAGTCGATTGAGCACAACTAAACCCCACAAACCCCCCAGACACAATGGTGGCTCTCTTGACAAAGTCCCAGAAGTGCATGAACGCAGAAGACTCAATGGTCATCCACATGGAGGTAGAGACGTGACCCCTGCCAACTAATGAAAAAAGAAAAGAGCCCGAGCATCAACTTTGAACCTAGGGCACTTTCAGTTTTTTAGTTTGCTACTTATGTTAAGTGCTAATTTCAACCCAATTATTGTCAAAACATTATGTATAAGCTAAACTTAAGCAGATCCCATCATCAATAAAAAGAGGCTACTGCAATCTGATCGCTATTTTGCATCCACAAGCCATGGCAAAAACAAACACCAGCCAACTGTCTAAGGCCTCAGCCAGACTGAATCAAACCTTGTGGTAAGAGCCAAACACCAGCCGACTGTCTAAGGCCTCGGCTAAATTGAGTCAAACCTTGCGGTGAGAGCCAAACGCCAGCCAACCATCCAACTCCTCAGCCAGACTGAGCCAAACCTTGCGGTAAGAGCCAAACACCAATCGACTATCCAAGGCCTCAGCTAAACTGAGTCAAACCTTGCGGTAAGAGCCAAACACTAGCCGACCGTCCAAGGCCTTAGCCAAACTGAGTCAAACCTTGCGGTAAGAGCCAAACACTAGTTGATCGTCCAAGGCCTCGGCCAGATTGAGTCAAACCTTGCGGTAAGGGCTTATCCATCAGCTAACCATCCAAGGCACCCATTTGGAGTATACGACCTTGCGGTCTTGAAGACTCAAAAGCAACAGATAAACACTCCTCCAAGATGAGCACAAGAACAAACGAAGGAGGTCAACATCATGAAGTGGAACCAAGCACTAATACACATCAGTCTGCTATTTGCCCTAGAGCATTTCGAAGGCGATGCCTTTTATGTGGAAGACCATATGGAAGACAGCCATGTGGGAGACTAGGCGGAAGACCACCATGTGGAAGACCATGCAGAAAATCACCATGTGAAAGACCGCCATGCGAAAGACTATGCAGAAGACTGCCATGTGGGAGACCATGCGGAAGACCACCATGAGAAAGACCGCCATGTGGAAGACCATGGGGAAGACAATGCGGAAGACCCCCATGTAGAAGACCACCATGTGGGAGACCACCATCTAATTAGCAGCTTGAATCCCATCAACATCAAACGAATACTGAGCAAACTGTGACTGAGCATATGCTATCATAATACTTGACCTTTTCTTTTCTGAATTCCATTAACTGGGTCTATGCTAGCGACATCTCGAATATGCAAAACCTTAGCAAAAGTGCGCGCCAATCTGCTCTTACTTGGAGTCGCCATTGTCGGGTCAACTGAATCCATCTTGAAAAAATCATGAGAAATTGATACTCACTCGGAGAAACCGGGACGATCACTGGCTTCTCCATTCCTTCCTAAAAATGGCCTCCGTCAACAGCATCACACTCCACGGCTTCCTTCCTCTCTCCACACCTAAAACCAAACCCAAAAAAATCGCAGGCTTCTGGGTATATGGATATAGCGAGAGAAAGTGAAACAATTTTGCTTCTCTCTCTAAATAAGTCATTGTGATTCGAAGGATTGTCGCAGTGGATCTTTTGAAATTTGAGAAAAAGAAAGTTTTTATGGACTATTTGACAAACATCAATCAAGTATTTCATTCAACAAATAAATTGGTGGGGCCATGTCAATTCAATAATTCCAAACATGGAGATAAGTATTGAATTTTGAAAAAAGACATAAAAACCAACCAAGCAAAAGCAGTCAACAATCAGAAAGCTAGCGGGTCCTATGGTGATCATAACGACAAATATCAAAAGAAGATTCACATGAATACAACTAAACAAAAGTCTTGCATAGGCTCTACCCAAAAATCAATTACTGCTTCGAGTAGGACTAAGTTGTTGGAATAATGAAGCCCGACAAATCAACAAGTTTATTTTACTAAGCACACACAACGTGCATTATTTTGACTGAGCACTATCACATTAAATCAAGCAATGGACCGAGCGGCTTGTCAAATCAAGATCAAGCATTACAAGCACAATCGAGCATGACAAATTCGACACTTTTGATTCCCTTCGTTGGACTAAAGCTGCACTCGGGAATGGGGGACTACTGATGGACATAGCCCAAATAGGTGGTCCAATGGGCCGTCCAAATAATTCCTAACCCAACTTGGGGCCAGACAAAAAGAAGAGATAAGCCCCCTTTTCTTCCATGATTTCTGTGACATGACGACATTGCCATGGCCGGCTACAGATAGCCATAGACTTACGACTAGTAGGATAGCGTGAAAAGACAAAGACAGGGGAGCAATCATGAGCAAGGTTGTTAAGATTGGGATCCTACACAGGATCGTTTTGGGGGTTTGTCAGATCAGATCGAGGATCGTAAGATCCTACTAAAATGATAAAAAAAATGTAATAATTTTTATATGACTAAGTAATACTATCAAAATATATATTGAATGAACCCCCCCAAAAAAAAGAACTATAGCAATTCGAGGTAGAATTCAATCATTTAAAAAAAAAAAAAAAAGTAGTCAAAAACATAATAAAAGCAAATACAACACTTGCACACCATTGTCATTATTTCTTAATGAAAACAAGACAAGCTAAATAAACAAAGAACAAATAAAAGACTAAAAATATAATATATATATATATATAATATAATTTTAAAAAATCATCAAAGACAAAAATAAGAGCAAAAAAAAAAAAAAGGGTGATTTGGTATATATAATATATACCAAAATAGAAAGGAAGAAGAGAAAGAAAGCAGAGTAGTGAAGTAAAAAAAATGAGAGTAGCAAAGAGAAAGGAAGCAGAGCAGCGAAGAGAAAGGAAGAAGAGCAGCGAAGAAATAGAAAAAGAAAAGCAGCGAAGAAGAAGAGCAACAATGAAGAAGAAGAAGCGTACTTGGTTTGTGTGCTGCAATTTCTGAAATTTGATGTCTAATTTCTCTTTCCCCAATTTGTATTGCCCTAATCGCAGCTCAACTTCTTTGCTTATCTGCCTTTTTTGCTCTTGACAAAAGATTCTTTGCTTTTAAGTTGCCAAACCTTCAAATCTGGATCGCATGGAGTCGCGATCCAGATAAGATCTCAACGATCCCAATGATCCTTCCACGATCATGATCTGGGGTCGATCCAAAGCACGAGTCGGATTGAATGGTGTATATTGGATCGTAGGATCCTACGATCCGGATCGCGATCTTGACAACCTTGATCATGAGTGGGGCACGGTAAGCCAAGAGGCCAACAAAAATATGAAAGATATCAATACATACATACTCTCTCTAATGACTTCTTGACTATTTTTTTTTTTTTTTTCCAATCTAACTTAACCATCGGAGGGTCCTCAGGAAGGAGCCCTATCCCCTGGGTCCTTCCTATTGGACTTGGTGCAGGTGCTGCAGGGAAGATGATGCTCGGCCAACTCGGTTTGCATTCAGATCCTGTCCGACCCATCTCTCGTCCGACCAAACTGCATCATCAAGTTTCTTATTTTGTTTTGATTTCGTTTTCCTACTTTGAGATTTCTTGGTGTCCAAGATTGTTTGGTCTCCAAGTATCAATTTATTATAAATAGCTATGTAAGCCTTATGGCAAGGGGAACATTTTATGCAATATAATTCAATTTCTTTAGAATTTTCTCTTCCTTGTGGATTCAAGGTTCTATTTTTTTTGTGGATTCGAGAACCCCTTTTGTCTACTAGAATGATATCTAGTTTCGCGTGTATTGCGCTGCGTCACGGTGTCTGATATATTCAGCTTTAAACAAAGTCAACTATATTCAATTGTCAGCACTTGGATTTGAATCCAACGTGTATGTATGTTGGTGTGTGTGACTGCTAAAATTGCTGAGATAAGATTTATCTTTCATCAGTGCAATTCTCATTTTCTTATAATGAAAACTACACAAAATGTTCCAATATGCAAGATGGTGAGTCAAAGTAAATGATCAAACTCATCATCGTATAGAATGTAAACTGACCTCTTCACAATATGTTTTGAAGGTTTCACAAGATGTCCCAAAATACATGATGGTGTCTGGAGAAAGAGCTGAGCTTCGTGGTTTAAATTTGGAAGGTCTAAAACGGTGTGGATTCTCAGATACTGAGGTTGGTTTTAGTTAAAATTGCTTCTTGATGATTGTATTGAATGAGACTTCGAACAATTTCCTAATCTTACAGAAAAAAGGGGTAGTATTCTTACAGAAGCATTATATTTTCCTGCTGTTATGTCCTACATGTCTAGTTGGAGATACACTCACACATGTTTTAGCATAAGAGTTTACTCTGAAACCATGCATAAAACTCCGTTGTATGCATGAAAAGCTCTATGTTTGGAAACATCATTTTACCCTATATAACCGAAATAATTATTTAGAAATATGAAGTTTATCCTTGGGCATGAGAATTAGATGAAAATAACACCTAGACATATACCTGCACCCCTACACCATCCGAGTCCATGTAGCATAGCTAGCTATAAATACTCTGTTTCTTTTTCATCAAACATTCAAAATATTATTTTTGTGCTAATTTTAATATTGAGTTCATACTCTCCACGTTGTAATTGTGGGTACTAATCATGTAGCACATACTGTTGCTGAACATACTCAAATTTTGTTATCTGGTTTGGGAATTGCAGTTTATATGTAGCACAGAGCTTATCTATGTTTGATAATTTCAGTGACAATTGAGATCCTTGCTTCATCATGTTTTAGCATATTTTTTTTTATATTCTAAGAAGATATGTTGAGATTTGTTTGTGAACTTTTTCATTTTAATCTAGTAGGGATGTTGGTTTGAGAATTTCTGACGTTCGATGGCCCACGTTTTTGGTTCTCCATTGGAAATCATTTTCCATACCAAGACAATTACTCCTTGCTCTAATTTAATTCTATTACTTCAGTGCATCATTTTATGTGATTACATCTTGTACAAGTGCTAATATATTCCTTTTAACAAGGTTCTAGATCAGGAGCCTGAGAACAGCTTACAGGAAGATATTCATGTCTACTGATGCAAATTCTGGGGGTATCGAAAATCGTCTTGCCGAAGTGGTATTACATGGTTTCTTTCTGCATCTCTTTTAACTTGCTCTCAACTGAGATATATAACAGTTCATATTTCTACTATTTTACAGGAGAAGCATGAAGAATTGGCTTATGTTCCTGCTGTGTGTTTGATGGTACAGTCCATTCGTGATTCTTTTTCTGAAGATCGTCGTGGAATTTGCAAGTCCCGATCATTGAGTGTTTCTTGAATGTGTGCCATAGTAAGTCTCTGCATTTGTAGCTCACATTTGAAGTTTTTATGTTGAGAAATGCTATTTTTCCAGTTTTTTGTCACCGGTTTGTATCACTGCTTTCACGGATATTCAGAATTGGTACCTTGTTTGGACAAAATTTTTAATGAAATAATGAAGATATAATTATTATGGGGAGCTTATATTTTCACACCACATTATCTCAATTCACACACTTTTTGGTTCAATATCAACTACTTAATGAAATTATTAAGTTTAAAAATTACCTTCTGACTGAAATCTTATGATTCGGCTATATCTTTGGTCCAGAAGTTGATTTCCAAACCATAGGTTTTTATTCGAAAGTTGATTTCTGAACCATGCAGTTTTGTTTGGAAATCAACTTCCAAATGAAAATGATGTGTAAACTGAGAGAGTTGTGTACGGAAATCGAAAAATATCTTGCCGTGTACTTGGGTGATGTCAAATGGTGAAATATACTGGCGACATATAGCAGTTCTCTTTTACGTTTCTATATTCAAAAGGGTCAGTCTTTTTGATACACAAGTCTTTGATACGCATGTGCTCATACATTTTAATGTGGTTGGAGATATGACTTAATATCGTTTGGTTACAACACAATGTGGTTGTGAACAACATGCAATCATAATTGACCACATTGAGTTGTAACCACGTCTACATTGAATCAAAACAAACTTTTGACGCAGCAAAATAACAGCCACATAATGTGTGTTGCACATCATGCTCTCCTTTTTGTGGTGCAGCTCATAGATATTGCTCAAAGTTAATATACATTTGATTCTATCATGATAATGGACCATGCCACGGCTGATTGGACAGGAAAAAGTGACTATCTTCATTTTTTTGTTTTTCCAGTTTTCAAGTTATCATCTATTTTAATTTTAATATGACGTGTGCATTTTATGTACTCCACCTGCAGTGTTGGTGTTTATGTGCTGGTTTCAGACTACTACTCTTTAGAGCGTACTGAACAACCATTAATTTGTCGAGCCAATTGTAGAGCTGTGTATGAAATTAACCAGGCAGCTTTTGCTTGTATGTACTGATGCTTATGTTGTAGCAGTTATGGTAACTACGGAGGAAGAGTGAATTTCAGCTTATGGGATTCTTAAAAGGGATATTAATTACTGAACTTAGTTTATACGAGATTAGGCACTGTGAATGCCTTGTATTAATTCAGAATTAAGACTATTGACCTAGATGTACATATTGGTTGCTGTGATTAATTGATCTCTTTGTGCAGTGCCCATCTTCTCTTTTATGCAGTCCCAAATCTTCTTACTGTACACTTCTTTCTCTTTTTTTATTTTTATGTTTAACAATATTGCTTTGCTATATTTAGTTATTAGGGAAATTCTATAATACACACTCCAATATGGGGTGTGTGCCATTTGTCCAATTATGATGTTTGTCGTCTTTGGTTATGACTTATTGTGGTGTTAGTTATGACTTATTGTGGTGTTAGTTATGATTTATTGTGATTATTATTTAAATTATGATCAAAATTTGACAACACTTTATGTGGTGTTTGGTGATGACATTATTTTTCTTTTAGTTATGATTGAAAGTAACAGTTATGACATTTGTGATTAATGCTACTTGCATATCATACACACCTCAAAAGGGTGTGGATTCTAGAATAAACCGTTATTAACATTGAGTAGACATAATTTGCTTTCATTGATAATTTGAAAACAAGCTTTGATTATTATGCTAATATTGAAATTCAGCATAGTTTTTGTTGATTAGCCCCAATCCTATAGCATTTCACATGCTATTGCGTTATGATTGTGCATCGCCCAAAGGGGTGTATATATCATATGCATCTTATCATAAATTAACGTAATTTGATTATAAAATTTCGTAGCATTAATTACAAAATGTGTAATCTTGTCATAAATTAGCGTAATAAATGTCTAAAATTCCGTGGTTCGTGTTAATAAAAATTTGTGACTTAATTATGAGATTTTTTATTACTTCAATTTGTGGTGGGGTTAAGTATTTTGTGATTAATGTTACAAAATTTTATAATAAAATTATGTGAATTTGTGTTAGGATGCATGTGATATCCACTCCTGACGAGTTTCACACCATAGGTTTCCCGTTTGTCCCATTGGGAGTCTTTGGCTCATACTTGATTAGTATAGATAGTACTATAAGGTGTGTTTGTTTGGACAGATTGGATAAGGGGGATTGTAATTCATCGGACTATTAGTCCTGAGATATATTGTCCCGGGACTATTTGATTTGATTAAATTTGTATCTTATGTTTGTTTAGTCATGAGATTAGATGTCTGGATTGGACTATTTTTAATTATCCAATGTTTGTTTGGGATATTATGGAGAAAGATAAATGCTCAAATGACTATTTTATCATTTTCAATTATTTACTAAGTAATAGCAATATTAAACCTAGCTTTAATAGTTTAATTATTTTTAACTAGATTAAATAAAAATTTGTTTTATTTTATTTTCTGTACAATATTTTAATTATTTTAATTTATTATTTTCAATTAAATTAAATTTATAATTTATAATTTATATTTTTTATTTAATATATAATTTTAAATTAACGACAATAAAAAATAATTTTATTTAATATATAAATTAAATTTTCAACAACACTAAAAAAATTTAATTTATAAAGCCAAAATTTATAATTCATTATTTTTAAATAAATTTAATTATAATTTATATTTTTTGATTAATACATAATTTTAAATTAACATCACTAAAAAAAATTGTAAATGTTCAAAAGACTATTTTATCATTTTCCAATTGTTTACTAAGTAATAGCATGAGAGTAAAATGAACATTTCATACATTAGTCCCGTGAGATACTAATCCCATGGAAATAATCCCCCCCCCCTCCCCCAACACAAAACGGATTGTTTAGTCCCTCATATGAGGGATATGGAGTTCGGCCAGACTCCATGTCCGGCGGACTAAAAATCCAATCCTCACAGTAAATAATCTCCCCCATAATCCCCCCAATCAAACACACTTTGCAAATGCAATTAGAAGGGATTGGATTTGGATGTCTAGAGACTAATAGTCCTAGGACCATTTTAGACTTTAACACAACAATTATTTGGTGTTTTGGGGTGGGATGGGATAAGATATTTACACATTTAACAGTGTTGGATTTCATGCCAAGCCTTATCCCACCATTCACCTAATCCTAGGACAAACTTATGTGGGACATTGTCTTATCCCACATACATGCGACAACTTATCCAAACCAAATAACTTATCTGCCCCCTTTTTGGTGACACAAAGATGAAATAAATAGTCCACGGGGAATATAGCCAATCTCGCCCGTTTAGTCCCACAAACCAATGAAGCCTTGGTCACCAACTATGTTACATGGACTCGTCAAAATAAATCAAGGAGGCAGATCGGTTTAGAGTCATCTGATTCTGAACACCCGGAAGTTTATATTTTTTTATTTAACATATAATTTTAAATTAACACTAAAAAAAATAATTTATAAATGTCAAAGACTATTTTATCCGTTTCCAATTGTTTATTAAGTAATAACATAAGGGTAAAATGAATATTTTACACATTAGTCCCATGAGATACTAATCCCATGGGATACAATAATCCCTCATATGAGGGACTAATAGTCCGGAGGAACTATTAATCCGGAGCAAAAAAATTGAACCAAACAATGAATTATTAGTCCGAATGGACTAATAGTCCAATTCCATGAAATAATCCCTCAAAACAAACACAGTGTTTGTTTGGGGGATTAGAGTGTGGAACAAGACTTCATGTTCATTGCTTGTCATAATCCGACGTTTAATTCAAAAAATATAAGTTGAACTAATAGTCCAATCCAACTATCAATCCCTTCATTTGTAGGATTATTGTGTTCCATGGGAGGTGTGGGATAAAAAGGATGGATTAAAAGGTTAAAATGACATTTTTAACCCTTATTTTTGCCCTCAAATTTTTATTTATATTATCTTTAATTATACTTAGTATAGTAAAATAAATTTTAAAAATTTTAACTAAAAATTAAATTAAATTAATAGTACAATGGATTATAATTTTCCTTTGAAAGTTCAATTTATTTAATTAAAAATAAAATTAGGTTGGAGGGTTGAGAGAGAGAGAGAGAAGAATGAAAGGGACCAGAACATAGAAAGGGGCGCTCAATCGTTCTGTTCTGTGTTTGAATAGATTTGGTGAAAGATCTCACAACGGTCAGATTTGTATGGACGGTCACGGACCAATGACGCTCGAGTCGCTTTTTCTTATAGGAAATTTTACAGGTGGATTTTTTTTTATTTAATTTAAATTATTTATTTATTCCGGGGTGACACTCAGCCCGTACTCTGCCCGGCCCAAGTTCTGGCAGCCCACTTTGGGCAAAAAGTCGATCATCTCGGACCCATGCACCGTTGGGCCCTCAACTTGCTCGGCCGTTACCTCGGCCCAACTCCAGATCACAATTCACCCTCTCATATATATATATATTTTTTGTGATCTATTTAGTCATTTTAGATGTGTAATGACTTATTTACCCGCCACATTAGAGTGTCACATTTGAAAAAAGTATATTAAATTTTTTTTAATGTCACATCATACTCGCCACGTTAAAGTATACATTTAAAAAAAATATACTAAAGAGTTTTTTTTTTTTAGAGTGTCATATCATACATGTCACGTTTGAATGTCACATGTCACGTTTGAGAAAAGTACACTAAGAAGTTTTTAATTTTGTTTAGAGTATAATATCATACCTGTCACATTGTCACATTTGAGTGAAGTATACTAAGAAAAATTTTAATTTTTTTTGAAGTAAGTATTGGAATGTCACATTATACCCATCATGTTGTCATATTTGAAAAAAAGTACAAAGGAGTTTTTAAATTTTTTTTTTAAAGTGTCACATTAATATCTGTCACATTGGAGTGTCACATTATACCTGTCACATTAATAAAAAAGTATAGTTGTCCACCAAAACACTACCAAAATAAAAAATAAGACAACACGAAAAGAAACTCTTCACTAACAGGACTTAACAAATCAATAAAAAAAACTTAGAACTAATTGGAGTATTTGTTTATGAGATAAAATTTATTGATAAATATTCCTAAATGTTAATGATTAATATATATATATGTGTAAAATTTTACTTAAAAAAAATAAGTGAATAATTTAGATTGGAAATAAATTAAAAAAATTTTAATTGATAAAATTTAAACTTAAATTTTTTATTATAAAAGTCAAATCTTAATTTTTCTTTTTTAATAATTTCACATAATATTTTTAATATTAAAATTCACATTCATGAATATTTTTATTATTTAAAAATCATAGACCACCCCCTATCATTTTTGTATATATATATCTTGTTGTATATAAAAATCATAGATCACCCCTATCATTTTATTATTTAAAATCATAGGTCACCATTGTCAAATGTCAAGTCTATGGTAAAAATATAACTACACTAGATTGGTCATTTTTATTTCCTTTTCAATCATCCTGCCCTTTTCCTTTCCTGTTGCACTAGCTGGACTCATTTTTCTCTTATAATTTTGATTAATTTAAAAAAGTGGATTGATTATATCTTGTTGGTTACATATTTTGTACAAGTTAATTACAATTTGACGCGTGGCAGAATAAGGGTAGTACAGAAAGACTATTCAAGTCTTCGATCCTGATCGTATACGTGGAAGTTTATATTGATTATTACGAGATCTGAGTAGCAGTGGATCAATAAAGAGATACAGGGTGACGTGGCTTCAACGGTTATTCACATTTAAATTCAAAATTTAGGAGGGAAGTCTAACTGCAAGAGATAGCATAGTGGAGCTAATTATAAGACAATATGATCAACAATCATAGAGGAGCAGTTCGACGGTTGGAAATGCAGTTCGATGGTCATCCTTGAAAAGTATAAATAGCAGAGAAGACCCAGAAAAAAGGACCCAGACCCAGATAAAAAAAAACCAGTCTTATTCTACTTATTTTCCTTTCCAGTTTTACATTTTCAGTCTTACATTTCCTGTTCTTTACATTCCTGTACCTTAAATTCATGCACTGCACTTCGTTCATAGGAGTAGTTTCAAGTAATATATTGTTGCTGTAAACCTCTACGAGGCTGAGTTTAGATCATTGTAAGTTTTTTCATTCTATGAAATGCTTTAATTGTTCTTCATTTAATTGTTATCTTGCTTAATTCTCCTAAATCAAGCCACCAGTAAAAGTCCTCTTCATTGAGGCTGAAAGAACTAAAACACAATC